GTAGATCTTTCATTTTTGCATTATAATGAAATAATTACCTTTGAATCCTAATTTGTGTTTAGGGAAGAGTTGCATAATCAAAGTTAATTTTTATATGAAAAGATCGAATGATACATTGCTTAGTTCTTAAAAGTATGAGCAATATGAAAGGGGGCAACTAACAAGAAGTAATATATCATTCCAAGGGAATTAAGCCGAAAATTTCATATTTAAAACAAAAACTTCACTGCACCAAGGGAAAATAGAAATCTCATCAATGGTTAAGAAAGTTTAGATATTATTAAGCATCTCAAGAGATGAATGAAAATGGTTGATGAATTGAATTTTGCCAATTGAAATTTACCAACAGTCCGCGGCAGTGAGAAATTTATCAAGTTGAAAACAATTCAAGCAATAATAAATGTGTGTTTGGTGTTGTTCCCTCTGAAGAATATAAGAGCAAATGATCAATATATCTATATAGGTATTGCCACGCTTCCAAAGTAAATTTGGAAATGTATGGGAAGTACTGTAATGTACTATTGCTTATAAACACAAGAGCAGCCGCAAGGAGGACACGAATACAAGTAAAACTGGAAAGAGTTCAGTGATAAATTCAAGCAAATAAAGAAAAGATTATTATACCTTTTAAAGATCTGGAAAAACGTGGCTATGGATGTACCTACCGGCGGGTGTTATTTCCGAAGAGATTCCGGCGGCCTTGACAGTGCTACCTTCGGGCGGAACCGTAAAGGTCCTCTTCCGGCGGCGGAATCCGGATTCCATCTTTGAGAGAGAGGCTGCAACTTCGAAAGAGAAAGGAAGAGGGAAGGAGAAAAAGAAATCCAAAAAAAAAAAGAAAGCGAGAAAAGAGAGAATGAAGAAAAAGGGTGAAGGACGGCGGGTAGGACTCGTATGTTTTGTCGAGGCGCAGACTTTTGAATTATTTTTTTTTAAAATTTTAAAATACAATAATAATTGTTTTTTTATTTTAATTTATAAATATAATAGTATTAGCCTTGTTATGGTTTGAACTTTACAAAATATTTTTTTAATTTTAAAATAATTTTATGTAGATTTTTTAAATGTTAATTATAATATTAATTTTTTGTTACGGTTTAAATTACGAAACAAATATATATATGACAATACTTCGTCTCTATATCTAATTGTTACGGATATATTACCGAAATAAAAAATTTTATTTTAAAATTTTAAAATAATTATATATATTCTTTTATATATAATTATAATATTTATTTAATTTTTTGTTACGATTTAAATTGCGTAACAAATATATATATGACGATATCTCGTGCCAAATGTTATTGTTACAGATAAATTACCGAAACAAATACATAAAAAGTTTGACCAATAATAGAAACTTTTTGTCCCGACAAATTTCGTAAGAAAAGCTTCTTTTTGTGACGGAGTTTTTTTTACGGACAATATACCGCTACAAAAAGCCAATTTTTTGGTAGTGGTAGAAATAGAAATTAAGTTCCGCTGAAAAGACTATACAATGAAAGTCTTATTTAATTTTAAATAGAAACCAGTGCATAATAAAAATATAAAAGTGTCAATGCCTTCATCTTCCACCGGATCTTCAGTTCCCATATAGATGTATTTCTCTTCCTCTTTAGGCCTTTGGCAATTCAGGCAATCCTGAATAGATGTACTTATACGAGTTGTAGTACCCGTATCCAACCACCAAGTACAACTTTGTACAAAAACTAAAATGCATTCCGTATTAACAAAAGAATAAGACATACATTTCTTCACGCGCCAAACAGCATACTTAGGGCAGTCCTTTTTTCACATGAGACGTGTCTTTGAAAAAGAAACATTTGATCACTTCCATTCCTTTTTTAGGAGCTTTAGTTTCCTGTTGGTCTGATACTGTAGAGTCCTTCCACTTTCTCTTCTTTATTCCAGATAAAGAGGGTGTGTTCGAGTGAGAACTTTCAATATTTTCAGTTTAAGTCTTTATTCCTCTTGAACCAAATGTGAGATGAGTTTATTCAATCCCCATTTCTCCTTTTGGATTGTAACTCACCTCAAATTGGCTAAACTTATTAGGAAGAGAAATCAACACCAAATGAACTAGAAAATCCTCAGGTAGTTCAATTTTAAGTGCCCTCAATTTTCCAGCAAGATTGAACATATCCATAATGTGTTCTCTAACATTTCCATTACCTTAGTACTTCATAGTAACAAGTTTTCGCATTGCTGCACTTGTTTATGCCTTATCACTTTGAGCAAAACGCTCTTCAAGGCTTTCCAAAAATCCTTTAGCAGTGATTTCCTCTCGGCGAGTCTCCAAAAAGGCCTCAGGTACCGAATTCCTCACGATCATCAAGCTTACCCGGTTAGATCTATACCACCTTTCATATGCCCTTAGATCCTTTTAAGTACTTTGTTCAGTTAGCGTTGGAGGACAGGTAATCGTCAATGTTGAATCTAGATCCATGCATCGTAACACCATTGTTACTTTATTTTTCCACGATTTAAAGTTGGTGCAATTTAGCATAGGTATGTTATTGATAGAAACAGAAACAGAATTTGCATTGAGCATTTCGGCTGTATCAACAAAAAAAAAATTCTATAAGAATATGAAATAGATATTAAATTAATTAAATGAATGATAGAAGTCTATCAAATATTAACCGTGTGACATGAAAATTAATCTTTGGATTAAGCAATTCATTCACAAGTTATCAATATATTATACTAAATAATTTCATACCAAATATAGTCATGCACTCAGATTTCCTTTGGGCCAACTGAGTACCCGATACTAATTTTATTAATGTTGTGTCTATTGTTTAACAAAAGTCTTCCTTTGGAACGACTAATTGTCAATAAAATAACAATACACGCATAAAAATTAAAAAAAAAAAGAACCTTAGTAATAATAGTTTGGGACTCATGAGAGATGAGTGTTAGGTTGATACATATTGTGTAGGTTGTTAGAATAAATGTCAGAAATCCCTAGACTAGTTGTCTGGGATATGAGATCAAACATATTGTTAACATAATTGATAGTGATTTCTTATTGTGAACGGAAGTTTCACAGGCGTAGATCCGATTGAGATCAAATTGGATAACAATATTGTGTATGCTAGTTTAATTGGTGTTTGATATTTAAATTTATATTAAAAATATCCCCAATTACCTTTATACTTCTATCACTTTTTCAATAAAATATTCATTTCTCTTAACTTTCGTACCAGACCCAATAACCTAAATTCTCTAAATTTGCATGAAAGAGGGAGTAGTATATATTAATAAATTAATAATATTAATAATTTTTATTTTGTTTTTATTTAAACAACTAGGGGCAGACACCACTAGAAAATTACATAATCAATTTTAAACAATTCGCATAGGTAATTGTTAAGTTGAATTAGGCATTTCTAGTTCGTAAGACAGTTTGACATGGATTAGAATCATCTCCATGAATCAAACTCGAAAAGGAAATATCTAATATATTCGGGAAACCTACAAATGACGAATCAAAAGAAAAATAGGATAAATCGAATTCCAGAAGCAATTACTCCTTCGAACAAACACTTTTGAGAATCCACGGACTGTCCGAGGCTGCCGATGCATCTTCCGTCTCTCACGCAATTGCATCCGAGGCTCAAATAATCATTTTGCCCTCTCGGAGGATGAAATCATTTCAACTATAATGAATCTCTTTAAAGCTAGGGTAAACCCTCTCTAAGTTGTTCTCATATCTAAGTTGTGTGTCTATCAAGAAAATAAACAAGGTTATATACTAAGTGATAAATTAATCTAAGTCATGCATCTTAAGTGACAAGTTAATCTAAACCACACATTTTGATTAAGATCAAAGGATCACGACATCCAAGCAAGCAAGTAACTTCGACCGAGTCCGGGTTGCAATCGGTCCATTTATGGTCGGGTTCGTGTGATCCGGAGCCGTGTCGTCACAGTTAGGCTAGTAAATTTTTTGTGGCATCACTAGGGTTCTAATCTAATTAGGGAAGCAGTTGACAGACGTACCTAGACCGTCGAGAAATTAAGGAAGAGTTGGTCATTAGGCTCGTGTCGGTAACTAGAACTAATTTATTTAGAAGCCAATTAAATTAAATATTTATCAATGATCAAGTTCAAAATCCAAGTAGTCAATTTTATTCCTAAATTGGAAGCCTATTTTTATTGAATTTATCTTTTAGTCGTAGATTTTTAGTTTGTTATTTTTTATTTTTATTTCCATCTTCCAAACCCCCTTTTATTATATGTATATATTAAACAATCGAAAAAAAAAAAAATTATTCCCTTAGGAGACGACTCTACTTCACCTATACTACGTTATTTTTATCGTGAAAGTAGGTTTATTTTATTTAAATTTTAGTATAACAAACGACTCTCAATGAGTAAAATGAATGACTAAGCAATTAATAAACAATTATTCTCAAACGCTAAGATATACATAGTTTCTTCAAAAATCAGTCTTTTTGGGCCAATAAATAATTTTAAAAAACTAATAACACTTAAAGTTACTTATGTTTCAAACTTTTAATTTTTTTTTTGGCCAATAAATTATTTTTTTAAAAAAAAATTAGTTTCCAAACATTAAATTAATTTTTTTATTAATAAATAAATAAAAATTGTTAAATACGCTAAAACTTTCTAAAACGATATTTCCTAAACACTCTCTAAAATTAAATGGTGATTTGAGCTTACAATTTTTATGTAGCTGTAGCAAGCACATCAGCCTGATGAACTATGAGAACCACTCAAATTTGACAAAATTGCAATCAAACAGAAAAACTTAGGATTGAAAACAAGTTATGATAGATAAACAGTGAAAATATTAATCAAACATGTTGGTAGCTTGAATATGATGTAAAAGCTCGCCACAACACGCAGGCAAGACTCTAGTACTATATTAAGTGATGTAAATGACCTGCCACATTTAGAAACTTAAATTGTTAAAATATACATCATTTATTTATTTCTTTTATCTACAAACAGAATCCACCTACAGAATGCTAAGCCTTTTCCTTGTCGCCCCACGAAGAATGGATAATAACTTGAAGATGGTGGCACCCGAATTTCCGGCGGTGATTTTCCATTATGTGTGTAGCCGATTCGGCAAGAGAGGGCCGTCCATCTTCCACCTCTATCATCTCTAGCGATTCCATGTCCCCAAAGCACAGAGGAATCTCATGCAATTTGTAACAGTGTCTGATGATCAGGCGCTTAAGTCTTGGGAAATGGCTGTGTTCCGAAATCCACACCTCGAGATTCATGTCATCAAGCAGCAGAGACTCTAGCCGGCGAAACCCCCCGTCACATGGCTCCCAAACGGACCAGCCGTGGAAGGCGTTGCATCGAAGTTTTAGTACATACAGAAATGGCAGTTTTCCGATGGCTGCTATGGACTTCCATGGCAGTTTGCAGCCGCTCAATGTTAGCTTTCGAACGTATTGAGGGAAGTCGGGAACTTCTGAAACAACTCGAGAGTTGAGACCCGAAACAACGCATTTGAACGATGAAAGGTAACGCAGCCTCCTGTCAACATTTCCGAGGAATTGGAAGGTTTCTTCTTTGCCTGGCGCCAACTCAATTCGAACTCCTAACTTTCTTACCTTACGGATTCTTGCAAGAACTCCATCGGTGCAGCTGCAGCTGGTCACACCCAATACAGACAAAAGGTGTTCGAGGGTGGCGCTGTTAGTACAAGACTCAGGCAAGTCGAATCCCCTGCATCGGAGGTGCCTCAGCTGCTTCAAATCCCACGTCGAGACAGGAAGATATACGGCACCGTACGGGTGTTTGATTGTGAAATGTCGACGAATGATGAGGTCTTCGAGATTCCGTAGTCGGGATATGGAATTTGGGAGCTCGCCATCGTATGTGACGGCTAGGTACTTCAAGCAAACGAGCTCTAGTATTTGACAGGGGAATGTGTAGAAACGAATCGTGAGCGCATTTACAACCTCCAACCTCCCGAAGTTTAAGTGTATCCGCAAAGGATACGAATGATAGAGCCCTAAACAGAGCAGCGAACGCACGAATGCGATCGACTCCATAGTGCTGCGCACTTCCTTAATCGCGAGCATAACATTGTTGTGAATACACAACCGTCGATGATGATTTGTGCCACGAGGAAAGCTATACGCGTATTTTTTTAAGACATGGCAAAACTTCTCCTTCTCGGCTATACTAATGCAAAGATTGCGAAACACAACATGTATTCGACACGCTTTAGTTTTACCCAAAGTCAAGCTTTTCTTTTGAGCTAAAACGACGCTTTGCGAAATAAGTTTATCCAACCATAGCTCGGAGGTTTCTTCGACGGATAGCTCCTCTTGTGGCCATCTGTTCGGTGTTACCAATCCCTCGACAGTCCATAATCTAAGAAGTTCGGAGGTAAAGATCTTGTAACTTTGCGGGAACACTCCCGTGTAGAGAAAGCATGATTTTAGATACCGGAACAACATGCCGTAACTCAAAGAGAGGGACTTTGAGATAGGCGAGTCGCTATCAATGCCTATCCCGAGTGGATTTTCGTCCTCGGCGACTTTCTTCCATATTTCTACGGCTCTCTCATTACGGCACAAGAGCTTACCGACCAAAACGATCGCCAAAGGAAGTCCTTCGCAGTTCTTGGCAATGTCCCTCCCGACCTTCTCAAGTTCGAAAGAGCACGACTCTCTCGGATCCTGCCCGAATACCATTCTACGGAGTAGACGCCAACTATCTTCGTCGTCTAGAAATCCTTTCTTAAGAACAGGGGCGCCGCGATTGACTCTACTTGTCACCACAATCCGACTTCGGGTGAAATTTTTTGGGAAGCATTCTTCGAGCGGGAAGAGAACACTACTGTGCCAAACATCATCCAACACAATTAGGTACCTTCGCTGCTCTAGAAATCTACAAACGTGTGATTGTAATTCACGATCCGATAACTTGCTGTGCACTTGTAGATCAACTACGAGGTTGTTCGAAACAGCCATTAGAAGTTCTTGCAGACTGAATTTCGGACCAACTGTGACCATGACTCGTGTGTCGAAATGGGATACGATGGATGGACGGGTATAAGCTTGTTGGACCAGAGTCGTCTTACCAATGCCAGCCATGCCTGCGACTGTAATAACCTGGAGCTCATCAGGTCCTCCCGTTAGCCAATTCGTTAGTTGTCGGAGCTCATCCTTCAACCCCACAAGCTCGCCGCTCTCGACACGAGGGTAACAGATTGTCGATGAAGTTTCGGCTAAATAGTTCCAGGCCTGCTCGATTTCTTTTGACGTTGTTGGTAACTCCGAGCGGATCTTTTCGGAAAAGGAAGAGAGTTCTTCGCCCAAATCGAACAGTTGTCGGAAGAAGAAGGGATTATCATCATCATCGTCGTCGTCTTTAGGGTTTTCTTGAGATTGGAGATCTGAAGCTCTGCGGGATTCGACCAGATCTGCGATTTTGTTTGCTGCGTCTTCAATTTGCTGCTCCAAAGGATCGAACCTTAGCTCCCTCCCCCGCATCGAAGCTCGACTCTCTGTAACTGATTCCAAGTGTTGAAGTCTGTAGTGGATGAAACTCATTTTTTCCCAATAAAATCTGCGTCGGGATGATTCGAAAAGAAGGTTTAGTTTGTGCTTCGCTGAAAGAACAGCAGCCAAAGCCATGGTAATATCATGTGTCTAATCCGATCCTTCCTTTGTCTGCCTTTCTTTTGGTTGACCCTCTCTCCTCCCCGCTTCTTCCTTTCTATTCCAATTCTTCAAATTAGTGCTTTCCCTCGTGTAACGTGCGTATAAATAAAATAAATCCTATCAAAATAAGAGGATTAATTAAAATTTTAAAAACGTTAATGCAGAAGAACCTTGGAGTTAAGTTTTATGGCTCTCTCTCTCTCCTCCTTATACAGAAGAGAGAAGATATATATATATATAATACTCTATCTATTAAGAAGATATATATATATATATAATACTCTATCTATTGTGCAATTATGCTTTCATTTGACAAAACAGGTTTTAATGTAAAAATATATTATTTTTTTATTTTTTTTGAATTTTTCAATATACAAAGCACATGGAAAAATTGGCTTCTTTCAATACAATATAAAATATTGATAAAAAATAAATATAATATTTAATTTTTTTAATTATATTAAACATGTTTAAAACTTTATATATCTAAGGAAAAAAAAAAGAGTAAAATCTGTTGTTCTACAATGACAACAAAAAATTGGACTTAATTTATTATTTTTAAACAACATAGAAACCTATATTAATGCAAAATATTTCCCCCCAAAATGTAAAAAAATCAAAAGTCAAAAACAGTCAAAAATATATTTTAAGAGTGTGTTTGTTTGAAGGTTTGGATTTTGATTTAGGATTTGAACAGTAAAAATTTTGAATTAAAATAGTTGTATAATGTGATATTTTAAATGTAAAATTAATTCTTAGAATAATATAGAAAATAAAAAATAAGTATTTGATGTGATATTTTAAAAAAAATAAAAAATTGAATAAATAATGAATTTTTGGCAAAATCCCTCAAACTTTTCACTCCAAAAATTATCATCTAATTCATTTCTCAAATATATAGATTAATCCCTCGAATAAATTCCCCAAAATACAATAAAATTAAGAGTCAAATCCAATGGAGAGAGACCATATTAATGGCCCTCAAATCCTTCCAACAAAAATCACAATAAATAGAAACGAAAAAAAAAAAATTAATTATCATTGTTATTCCATGAGCGAAACCAAAAATCAGTTTAAATAAAAAATTTTGGGCACAAAAACAAACCAATTTGTGGTGAATAATAAGAGTCGAATCCCCCAGTAGAAAACAACAATGAATCCGGCGAACCCACCGCCGTCTTGGCCTTCTCCATTACCTTCTTGCCATTTTCGGTATCAATGAGGTGAGAGTTGTCCAAATCATCGATTTTTTCTCTCTTTCAAAAAAGACGTTAAATCGGAATTTTCACCCATAAAATCAATGAACAAGTGCGAGAGAAGATTCCGGAAAGAAAGACAACTAGGGAACATCTTGAAACTGGCCGGAAAAATCATGAACAACGGTGATGAGATGAAACCCTAAATCACGATGGAGATGAATCGGGGTGATTGAGTGATAAAGATAAATGAAAAGTGAGTGGTGGGTCGGGTGATTGAATAATTGGGTGGATAGCTTAATTGGGTGGGTAGGGTTATATCTAATTTTTGGTTATTAATTTATAAAATAGCAAAAATTAGTACCGGTCCCAATCAAAACTATTTTTTTTTTATTTATTTATCAGAATTAGTTTCACACAAAAAATAAAACATCATTCTTCGTTCCACCTTTAAAATTGCAACGGATTGTGCTGATGTAGCTATAAAAAAAAACCGAGGCATCATCTAATTGGGTCAAATACAGCCGTTTACAGAGTCATATAAATATTTATTTTTTTGTTGAAACGCGGGCGTATTTTATTCAGCACACCGTGTTTTGAATGTTCCTCTCAAAAGCTGTCTTTTTCCTCAAAGTTAAAGGGGGGAAAGCCTTTGCAACGGAGCAGAACTAACAATTACTCTAAAAAAATTTAAGTATTAGAGCAAAGGGAGTTGAAGATATATTATCCAGTTGAAGAATGAAGAGAATAAAAACACTGGTGGAGTCGCCAGAGTTCGGATAGCGTAGGCTTGAGACTGTCGAAGGCTGGAAGTCTCAGCAGAGAACGATGTTGTCATTGTCGGCGATTCGTCGGGCGGAGTGGTGGACAGGCGACTGTGATGCTGGCGGCTAAGAACGGTTTTTTTAGCCGGTGTTAGTTTAATTAATTAATTAATCATATTTGAATTTTGATTATTTTTGAACTATCTTATATAATTAAACTAACCTAAAATTGTGGCCCACTTTTCTCCCATTAAGTCTATCACATTCAAAATATACGTGAGAAGTGGCAGAAAAATCGTGATTGACGGTTTTTCTTTTTTATTATAAATACTCTCACATATGGGTTACTAAACCTACTCTCAGAAAAATCAGAATACACCGTCGCTATTTGAGAGCCAGGGTTTGGCAACATCATCCTAAGGTTCTAGAATCTGGCAACATCTTCACATGGTTCCAAAGTTTGGCAACATCCTCTCAAGGATTTCAAAGTTTGGCAACACTATCTTCCCACGGTTCCAATCTACCGTTTGCTTGAAGAAAAGAATATCGAGAATAACTTTAATTTTTAGCAATGGCTGGAAGTTTGTTTAAATTTAGCTTCCGCTAACATATTTTATTATATGTTTATTTTCCAACATTCGGTATCAGAGCAATTTTTACCTCTGCCTTGCTTTGAATTTTCTTCTCGTCAAATTCTTGATCAAGATTCGCTTCAATTTCTTATTTGGAAATATTTTGATTTTTTTTTTATTTTCAACAATTGCTTGGCGATATTTTCTTGATCAAGATCCGATCCTGCGATTTGAGAAGTTTTCATTCTGTTTTTTAGAAAAATTTTGAATTTTATTTTGAAATTAATTTATGCAAAATATTAAATTTTTGAATTTTCTTTGCGTTTTGATGGAGTGTTCAGATTCTTCTGTAATATCTTCTGTATACTTCGTATCTGTGTTAATTTGTATGCGCAATTAATTACCTTGAGGAAGTGGTTCCGTGTTGAATTATTGAGGTATTTTATTAGATTAATTGATGTTTAATCGATCCAACTCAATCTCAGCAAGGTTGAACTATTTATTTATTTTTCGGATCGATCTGTTCTGGAAATGTTGGTGGCGAATCCTTTTTATTATTTGAAATGATTGTTTCATCAAATTTAATTAAGTGAAAGATTCAATTGAATTCGTTATTGCCACTATGCGATTTATATATATTTATGTATGATAATGTATATGTCGGCAACCACATTAATTCGCTTGCAATTAATATATGCATGTATGATTATTGCGAGATGATGTATGTATGATTGGTGTATGTATAATGGATGGCGGTTGAATGAAGATCAGGGATTTTTGAATTATTCAACGTGCAGTTACGGAAAATCTAAGCGCTGTCTACATGGACATATTTATGCGTATGTATGTTCATATATAATCATGTGCTAATGGATTCCTTAATATATATATACTTAATCAATTAATAGCACTCACCGTGCATTACTTTATGCAAGAATTTTGGGTTCATATCAATTTGTGCATTTTTTAAGTCAAACGTACAATCAATTAATTAGGTGGGATATTTATTTAATCATTTATTTGAGTCGAGATTGACATTGAATTTATACATAAGCATCCGGTTGGATGATTGCATAATTTATTCATTAATGTGTTTGCTAATGTATGTGCAATTAGATTTAATACATGCACAATCTATTTATTTATACATGGCTGATTTTGTGAATATCAGAATTGTAGATTCATTATGATCTGTTTGAAAGTCCAATTAAATTTGGGATGTAGCATGTGTTTTCTGACATTATGCATTTATGAAAATTCGCCAATAAATATTAATTATATTAAATTTATAGTCTCTTTTAGTGGCAATTTTTTGCCTGTGTGATTCCGCTGCATTTAGTATTTTTTTTTTTGGACTATTTGATTATTTTGATGAGTCCATAAATTAATTGTTGTTGTTATAGCTTTCATATGTATTGGACATACATAGTTTATTTTAAGGTGAATTTAATTAGCAATAAAGGGTATAATATATTTTATGAATTGGTTGAAACAGTAATGCTGCCACAGCAGTTTCTGCTGTGTAGATCGGTTTATTTTATATGTTAGAAGATTGTATATGTAATTTATAAAGCTGCTGATTAACCCAAAGGCAAGTCAGCAATTAAGTAGTTACATACATGTTTAATGACATTGAATGTGGTGATGATAATTTGGTTATTTGTGTGTGAACAATAGTTTTGTCCACAGATAGAGTATTGTTCGACACACTATTTTATTGTCAACTTTCAATTATCAAAACAAATTTATCACTGGCGAGTTAGTAATTTGTCCAAAGACAATTGCTGATGTTGCTTGATAACTTGTAATAAGATTGCTAATTTATTTTATAAATTCACATACAAAGCACTCAGTAGCTTATTTACATGTGTACTTCAGATTATGTTCATCATGTTTGTGATTTATTTTAAATTTTATTTAATTGGGGAATAGCCACGGCATCCTCGATTAATTAAACATTTATTCATGATTTATTTGAAATCACATTAATAGACATCGATTGTAATTATCATGTACAATGTGATGAGATCTACCAACAGGAGTCTTGTTATATTTATATGAGTAATTAGGATAAAATATCGAATTTTATTTCTTAATCTACCCACAGGAGTTAAGAAAAGGAACACAATTTGATAGTTTTATTGTTAAGTTTTTGTTTGAATCTAATTGAGTAAAACTTTAGCCCACATGCAAGTTTCATGTCTCCAAATTTATGTTTTAACATGTTTACATTAGTAGAACATGTAATTTACTTGTCTCGTTTATTGATGAGCATGTATTTTTAATTTTGGAGCGTTTAATCCTATAAATTCCTCTGACGTTAAGTGTGATGTCCCCGAATTGACTGGTGATAATTACGAAATTTGGAAGAATGGATCCTCCTTCATTTAGGTTGGATGGACATTGATTATGTCAGTCATTCAGTTCTCCACCATGAAATT